CTTATTGCATTCACATCTTACACTTCTACTCCATCCTATTCTATCGATCGATTTGTCTCTACTCTCCGAAATCGCGCGCTTTAACCCGATTCTTTCATTGCGTCGCCTGATACGTAGCCGGCCAAAGGCCAACTTCTTTCCATGCCTCGCCTTTGGCTCCGCCCGAATTACCTTCGATGTCCATAAGTGTAGTTTTTGTACGTTTGTTTCTCTTCGGAAACCGAATCTTCATGCGTGAAACTTTGTGTGCTGTTTCCAGTGATCACAACTGACACATTCATGTCAAGAAAGAATGCAAGAATTTTCCGCGGATTCCTTCAATATTAGTGTTTGTGATGAGCTATGCTTCTTGACGCTTGCAGCTCAGGCGGATAGATTAAGTCATCTTTTATTCGAATAACAGTGACGCCGGCATGACGTTCCATTCATGCACCAGTTGAGCAAACTTTCCTTGTTGTTTGTGTTCAATTGCGCTTACAATGTTTGTGTAGCTCTCCCCACATGTGTTTAGTAGGAAGAATTCTGAAGTCTGACTTTGCTATTCAACAAGCCCGACTTTGTGCTGTCGGAAAGTCATTTTCACTAATCTTGAGGTGTTCGGGTATTATTACAGCTGTAGGCATTCCTCCTGCTCGTAATCTTCTCGATCGTACCTCACAGCTGCTACGACATGACGACTGTCTGTGTTAGATGTGCTTATGTCGTTTTGACCTTTGAATTGTCGGGGGGAGGACCCATTCAATCAGGAATGAGGATCGGTCGTGATAAAACAGAAATCCATTCACTATGACTGCGCGGTTTTGTGCTTTTATTCGTATTAGAACGCTCAGAAAAGGAAGTTATCCGGTTAGCCATCCCCGTTTTAGATGAATTGGTTTCAGGAAAATGAGGGATCGAATAGCTCGCCTCAGTGGGTTCTGTGCCCTCAACAATCCAACACTTTAAAGCTGCGTCGAGATCGTCAGAAAAGGCTAATAATCCATTTAAGACAGGTACATTTTGCACCCTGAATATTGAATGTTGTTCCACATGCCTATCTTATCTGTTTCTCATCGTTAACAGAACATATTTGGCGCTATTGCACTATTACATATTAAAAGGCGAATTCCACGTATAAGTTCAGGAAGTCGAGAGAATGGAGAGCGCCTAGTCAAAACGCGAGTAGACTTTTTGAGATTGGGCGGGGAAGTGCGTTGGAAAGTAAAGGAATGACCCTAGTGGCGTAGTAGGGCCGTACCTGCGCCGCTCCTCATGCCTCTGCACGCCCAACGACAGGTAACCCTTCGCCGTCTGACTTCAGCCGTTTAGCAGAGAGAGCATTAGCATAGAAGAGGGCAGCACCGATGAGGGTTGCATCAATGCGACAATATCATCGTAGAAAAAACAGGTCCCATTTCTTGGCTTCGAACCCGTTTCTCTGGTTTTTCCTTTCATATGCTGTCATTCCTGCACACCACCTCCTTGATGTGGCTGACTCCTTATCGTAAACTTCTCTGCCTCTAACCATAGCGGTTGCTTCAATTCGACTTTCAGACGAGAAAAGAAGGAGGTAGAAAACTAACGAGAAGGAGCTTCAAAATTTCCACTGGAGCGAAGTGGGCCAGCTGCGGGCCAGGAGGTCAAACTTGAAGTCCAAAGTTCCATAAGTTGGGCATCATAAACAGCGAGAGGAATCGGGGGTGCGACGAGCCAAGAAAGGGAACGTAAATCGTCGATGACGGGCTGAGGTTAAAAAATTTTTTAATTAAGGGTCGAGTAAACTAAGTTAAGCGGACCGGACAAAGGCTACGAGGGAGGAGCAGCATGCATGTCATGATAGAGCCTCTCACGCGAAAGTGCGAGGCTAATCAAAATTTTCAGTTGTCTGAGACATATCACTACAGCACTCGCAGAGTCCTACATCAGTGGGCCGTATGCTATGCTCCCCGAAGGGCTTGAGGGGACGAAAATCCCTTTAAAATTTCTCTGTCTCCTCCACTGGGATTGCCGTGATGAAGGGCTTACATTTAATGTATGTATGTAGGTTAAAGTAGACATGCACAAAAACTGAAGAAACTATATCGTTCAAAACAAATAAATTAAAGGAAACTTTGGATCACTTGCTTCGGAGAAGCAGTAGCATACGGCCCAAATGTACCGTAAATTGTTCTACATAGAGTGAAGCCTTTTAAATCTTTTTTCCATCATATCACAAAAAATTCACCTGGAAACAAACATAGTATAAAATTGGCACAAATGTACAATGCAATAGATCCTCAGTTCTAGTAATGAGTATGTCACTTATCTATTAATACTGAAATACACGATTCTGCGGGAATAGCCCAGTGTCATGGAATTTTCATGAATGATCATTTACTTTTTTGAACGGTCGAAAAATACACTATATTAGGTTTCTGGAGTACCTCTAACTATAACTAAATGTTTTGGAATGTTGTTAGCAGCTGGTCGGAATTTACGGCACAGTGATATGCAGTTGTTAGAGCTCGTGACTGTGGAACCAGGTACGTAAATAGTTCACGAGAAGGTCTCAGGACTTCTGTCAACCGTGAGGTTGGGCAATTCAGCGTTTTGTAGTGCTGTCTGGGAGCTCTCACACAATGCACACTATCACAGCATCTCCTCTTTTTCCATTTCCTTTGAAAGGCTTAGTCCCATACCACACAAAGCGTGTGCTTTTCCATCTACACTCTCACCCTTTGGTTGACAGAAGTATTGTCACTTATGAGAACTTACTTTTGTGCAGACAGGCCAATTGTGTTTGATCTTGCAGGTGCAGTTCCATCTGCTTCCGTGATAACTGCAACATGGGATCCCCATGTCCACGTGTTTGATGTCCTCAATACCGAGACGCCAAGGGGTATGTATAAAATCTTCAACTATATTTGAGAAAAAAATCCAATAAAAAACGATGTACTCTCCTTTCCAAAAAACGAGAAGAGCGTCGGGTGCAGACCATACACCACAAGTGACGACGGCCTCCAAGTAAATCTGGTTAGTAGTGGTTCATAGTGATAGCTGATTTTTGGTAAATGATAGTTGTAATTAAAGGAATCTTCCACGGACCATGGACCAGTGGGCGGGACCGGAAGTTTTTGTGACGAAATGCATGGTAGGTACGGATCCACGTGTCGAACGCACGAACGTGAACAGGATTCACTTCAAACCTTCCCATGAACGTGGATCCGTACCTACCATGCATTTCGTCGCAAAACCACTTCCGGTCCCGCCCACTGGTCCATGGTCCGTGGAAGATTCCTTTAATGACAACTGATAGAATGCAACTGCACAGGCTAATCATTTCATTGGCAGAAACATTTACATTTTGTGGAGGCCGTCGTCACTTGTGGTGTATGGTCTGCACCCGACGCTCTTCTCGTTTTTTTGAAAGAGTATGTCTGTAGAATTCACTAAATTTCATCTCGTAATTTAGTCCATATTACCAATAATCGAGGTTCTCAGCACTGAAGTAGGTGCGAATGCGCCGCTTCTCTAGCAACGCCACTCACCTTTTTGGAAGTACCTGGAAAATTTTTGAATAAGCATTTGGCAGTGATGTCTGAGAGTACTTCGACAAGTGTGTGTACAGGGGGGGGGGGTGTAGGAGACATTAAAAAGTTATTTCCTTCAAATTTAGAACGGGATGAGTACGCGTTACTAATGAAACCGGATGATCCCAACTGAAAGTTGAAAAGCACATCCCGTCAAGAATTCACAGTAGCCTTCTACCCCGACGACATCAGAAAAATTCACTACAGGAACACGGTGCACGGTTCGAGTTCAAGGTCCCCGACGGATTGTGAACCATTGACTTTTCGAAACGCGAAACGAGGGTTGGAAGGGATATTGCGTAGTAGGAGCCATCGGCTCTAGGGGGCTATCCACCAGCAAATTGGTTGAAGATTGGGTAACTCTTCTCCCGCTTCTACTTATGGGGAGAGGGACATCTAAAAAATGTTTTGCCGTTAAACTTCCTTCAACGGCGGCACCTTCTGCGACGAAAAGTTCGGTGATGAACGCCATTGATGAAGTGAATTCTTTACTCCCCTCCCCCTCCCTCTGCCCGTATATTGCATATCTGGATTAATTCACAAATGTTATTTGAAATCAAATGATTTGGACGTCCTTAAGACTTTTGCGGGCCTTTGGTTTCTTTATCTTTGCTTATGTTATGATCTCAGAATCACGCGTACTTCTTACGGTTGCCGCTGATGTAGTTATTGCGGAAGTTGGTGAGCCGATTCGATTCCAAATCGAGGCCAAAGCAAGAGTGTTTCATCGTGACGAGAGATTCTACAAACTCCCGAATGCATCTTTACACGAGAGATACTCGCTTATACTAGAGGTACATTCCTTTTTCATTTGTTTCCTAAATCGTTTAATCAAGCATTGGTGTAAAGATCATGGCGGTAAGCCCACTCCCTTAGCTTATTCGTTTGATTTATATCTCCCATCATTTTAAAACTTCAATGGGACCGATACCTTTGTTGCCATCGCTGCCGCTTTTCTTTGTTCAGAATTATTATATGTTAGTGCTCTTGATACAACTGCTGATGAGAATTG